AATCTCTCTATTCCGACTATCATTGCACATCACTTCGCCTAATACATGTTCCGGTAATTTAACTACCTATAAATACGATGGAAGTTTGACCCGTGTCAAAGGTTGGGGGGGTGGCTGACGATTCCGGGAGGTGGCTGCGGGTTGACGAAAGGGAAAAGCGCAGCGCGCCGAACACACCGTTCACCTTGTGACTTTCCAATCAATAAATATAATTTATCCCCGGTGTACAATATCCATGCATAGTACAACATTTTTTAATAATTTTGCTGAAAAGTCACTTATTAAATGGGTATGGTTTTATTTCCAGAAATAGAATGAACCCCATATCAGCATGAATTTTTTTAATACATTGTGATTGAACGTGATCCATGATGACAGGTCTCACAAACTGGCGTAATGTTCTGTTATGTCTACAGAGACGTGCCTCGGGGGACGTGGACTTTTACCGAGGATGGACCGAGTATAAGAATGGATTCGGCAACCTCAACGGCAATTTCTGGTTTGGGTTGGAGAAAATCCACCAGCTGACCAACCAGGCAAGTTGTGTTTTGTTTTGTTTATAATGTACAATGTATTGTCAAGATTGTGACATCACTTAGCGCCGCTGCTGTTGCCCATGTCAATGTACCTTTTGTTGTAGTTATTCGCGTTTTTGTTTGTTGTTGTTTGTTGTTTTGTTTTGGGTTGTTGTTGTTGTTGTTGTTGTTGTTGGTGGTGGTGGTGGTGGTGGTGATGGTGTTGTTGTTGTTGTTGTTGTCGTTGTGGTTTTTGGTTTTGGTTTCTACTCAATGATGAAGCAAAAAATGGTCAATGCCATGAGCAAGGAATAGCCGAACACTCTCGCCCCGTGCCATGGTGCCTGGTCCCATAGCCCTTAAAATAGACAAAGTAATGGGTTGGAGGCTCTCATCCCTGTAGCGAATTCTGGGTAAACTCCCTTGAACACGGGGGAGGGTTGCTCTGTTGTTCAGACCAATGCCACCCCCACACCACAGCAGACCCTCCTCCCTCTGTTCTGAAAGCGTTTGCCGAGACGTCTCCAGACACGAATCCTTCCGTCATTGAAGAACATGGTTTATTTGGACTCGTCTATAAACAGCACACTTGACCACTGTTGGTGTGTCCATCGCAGGTGACGAGTACACCAGGTCCCTTGGGCATTGCGTGGGCCTAGGTCAGGGATAGACGGACTGCTGGTCGTCTAGAGTGGAGTCCATGTTGACGTAATCTGTTCTTTATGCTCTGGGCACTCACTTGGTTGTTGCTGTGGATCACCAGCTGTTGTCCGACTTGTGTAGCGTTTGACGTTTTAGCTGCCAGGGTCGCCAGGACAATGTAGCGGCCATGTTGTCTTGTTAATCTTATTGGTCGCTCGGACTACTTATCACACATATTGTTTCTTGGACATTTCCTGAACAATGGCTAAAAACGTATATACCCTAAAGTGGTGTTTGAAGGGATTTTGGAAAAGAAGGCAGAGACTTTTTTGAAAAAATAATTGTCAGGATTTTTCTCAAATACCATGTTTTAGTTTAGTTTTAGTAAGTGTTTTACGGCACTTGAAACGCAATAAGGTCATATAAGTGCCGAAGATTAGAGGTGTTACAAGAGGGTAACAAACACAACAAAGAAGGAGGGAAGATAAAGACGATGGATGTTTGATAGGAAAGAAGAAGCAAATCACATCAGAGCACCAGCCAACCACCCACAAACCATGTTTTCCACCGCTCATATGTTTCAGTTTTAGTAGAAAAACCCCATTCCATTAATAGTATCAAGTAGTTGCCCCGTATTACTTTGAACTATGAATGTTTTTATTGGAAAGAAAACTATTTTGGTCTTTTCTTACCTTTGCCGGTTGTCTCAAAATACTATTTTTCCACATTTCATCTCATTTTTCTACTCTGTTTCTTATTCGAATTTAATGTATCTTTCACAGGATGTTAACAACACCTAAATTTAAAAATAGTACTGAAGAATATTTCTACCCATTTTCCGAGCTTGGCACGGAATGTTTTAGCTATGTTTTTCTATTTTATCCATACCTATAAGACAGACTTGTTTTAATTATCCCCTCGTTCTCATCACCAGGGGAGGTACCAGCTGAGAATCGACATGAAATACAAAGGAAAAAACTACTTCGCCAAGTACGACAACTTTTCGCTGAGCGGAGAATCTGAAAACTACAAAATTCAGATATCCGGATTTTCGGGTAATGTAAAGGACAGCATGGCTGCTCACAATGGCCAGCAGTTCTCTACCAAGGACCGTGACAACGATGGGATTCCAAGCAGCTGCGCCACATGGTATCACGGAGCTTGGTGGTACAAGACCTGCCTTAGAGTGCAGCTGAACGGATTGTGGGGCAGCACTGAGACAGCGAAGGGTTTGTTCTGGGAGGGTTTAACCGGATGGAAAGACTCTGTCAGCTTCAGCGAAATGAAGATCCGACCACATGCTTAGTAACAGCTTCATGGCAGAGAATCCATTATATTTCATAATACTTTGATTTATGAATTTAGATGTTGTGTCCTTGGGAAAGGCACTTTACACAAATTTTCCCCACTTCACCCAGGTGGGAATGGGTACCCAGCTATAGACTGTGAAAGATCTTGTCAATTTGCTAGTGTTTGAGCGCTTAAACAGCTGCTTGCACTGTATGCTTCGCCCAGAGCTTAGAATGTTTCTGAGTGTTCTATGGTCTGCTGGGGTAATAATATAGTGTAAAGCGCACAGAGCTTGCTTTCGAGTGGGGACATGTGCTGTACAAATGCTATTTATTATTATTATTATTATCCTTTCACGTTCACTTGTGACCCACCCATGTTCTTGCCTTCACACAGTGCGGCGTTGTACAACGGTAGAGTACAAGTCTAACTACAATAAAAGTACAGCAGACTATCATTACCAGTTCCCCGTAAATCTGGCCTTTAAATATAAAGTCAAAACTAGGGTCGTTCTGACATCCGATATTGAAAGAGAAATAATTTACTTCTGCACAGGAGCAGATTAAAATTCAAAGTTTCATCAAGACACAAAACCAGAACATTGAATAACAAAGTAACCATTAAGTGTCCCATACACGCTCACATTTGTTTGATGGTTTGATCAAATATGTTTAACACAAATTTTTTTTATAGGTTTTTGATCGTGTATCTGCGTGTTTGATGGTCAAAATAATTTGATGTCAGGTATTTGAGGGATCTGTTTTCAGTTGATATTTTTTGGTCAAACCGTCAAACTATTTGATCGTGTGTGTGCTTCACCAAATGTATTTGTGCAAACATCATTTTTTCAGTCTGTGCCTGATAGAACAGATCTACGTTTTACATCATCATGGCGCCATCAAAGGATGAAAAGAAAATTATTCTGGAGCTGATTGAAGTGTATCAGAGTTTGCCTGAACTATGGAAAGTTATAAGTAAACAATATAGTGACCGAGATAAACAAAAAAGAGAAGCTGCTTGTGACGATCTACTGCTTAAATACAGGGAGTGGTATGCAGATACCAGAAAAGAAGGAATGAAAAAGAAAATTAACTCAAAGCTTTCAAAGGGAGTTGAATAACTTGGATGATTCTCAAAAGTCTATGGCCGGTGCAGATGATATCTTCTTATAAAAGGTCTCACAATTTCCAAAAGCTCATCAAACGAATCTCCGTCCATCCGCAAAACGTTTCTGAAATCATTTGGCACAGTACATCACAACGCATCTAATAATTTAGAATGGCCAATTTGTGACGCTGCAAAAGCCAATGTTTGGCATACTTTCTTTTCCTTTTAAAATGTTTCTTCGCAAGGCTAAAGCAAGCGCCAACGCCGTTGGTCCGTCCATTACACTTCTGGGCACAAACTAATGTTTGACAAACAAATTTGAGCGTGTATGTGGCACTTTAGAATAATGTTCTGACGTTCTGAACACCTCAGGGACTCCCGGCTACGCTTGTGTTTACATCAATACTGTTAGTTTATTGTACACAGGTGGAACCCAACAGGGCTGACTGTTTCTATAAATGTTGCCGATATGTACCGACTTTGGGACTGTTCTACCGCCAATCCGAAAAAGTGCCAAAATTATCGGATTTACGATGGGCGCCAAGATTTCAAAAGAAATATCAACATTGGTCTGTGAATCATTTCGTTGACTGTTTATTTATTCCTCTGTTGTGGTGGCTCAAATAATCAGGCGAATGATCTGTGCGTATACTAAAGTTTACAGCTGAATACAAAGCGATAGAGCTGGGCATGGGGCTTTATATTATAATAGGGTGACAACCAGGCCCCGTGAATACCTCGGGAATTTAAAGAAATGGCTGAAACACCAGCAAAAGACACGGTAAAATAACTTAAGCTCTCCTAACCTGCAAACAGATATGACAGATGTTTTAGTAGACAGTCTCGATCGGGAAAATCGTGGGTTTTTATTTTTTAAGTAGTCTCTACGACCCTATTGAGACTCAATTTAGACCCCCCCCCCCCCCCCTGCCTTACTCAGTCAGGGCCAACCGGGGCTGAGAGTGACGCAAAATCCCAGCAGAAAGATGGAGATACAAGTGCTCGATAAAACTTTCTTCACTTACGGGGAACTCAGCACTTATATGACCTTATTGTGTTGCAAGTGCCGTAAAACTCTTATCAAAACTAAAAAACCTCACGGGAACTGGACTTGGGTCTCCTGCGTGCGACCTTTTATACGGTTACGTGAGAACTACTTAACGTTGCCTGGCATACAGAAATCATACAGGACTTATCGGTTCCCTGTCGGCGTGTCCTTGGGAACAAATTCCCTTTAATAGTGTCTTTATTGATACCGGCTATGGGTTGTTAAAGGGTTGTTAAATACGTGTGGCAGTCAATATTTGCCATCTTGATAGCCATCTTGTACGATAGTTCGTAATAGGAAAAAGGACACACATTTCGTTACATCAAGACTGTTCCCCTTCACACGTGTAAATCCAAATTCACTCACACGCGTGCATGCACACACACACACAAACATACACACACACACACACACACACACACACACACACACACACACACGCGCGCGCGCGCGCGCACACACACACACACACACACACAGACACACATACACACACACTCACCCACACATATATAGAGAGAGAATAATATAAATTTTCGAAATATGATATAAATATAAGAAATGATCAATGTACACGAATAACCAAGCTTCGCTTGATGGTAACTACTTCTGCTGAAGTGATGTTCATCTTCTTGTTTTTCTTTCTTTGACATTGCACTGCCTGACATTTTGTCTAACTGCCTCAAATTGACCACGAATCAACCTGGTATTCTTTTTGGGTAATGTGTGGTATCTTTGTATGTGTAACATTATTCAGTCATGAATTGTTTTATGCTCTGAAGTATTATTTCGGAACCTAGCCTGTTTACAGTAAGAGATAAGCAAAAGCCAAAAACGACAATAAACATCAGACAGTGTCCAAAAGAGTGTTCTTTCTTCATTTTCGTTTACTTCGTGTTCTGTATACGTACAGTTGGTCATTGTGTTGTTCACACTCAAACATATTATTTCCTAATGTGTTCGTTCTATTTACAGTTTGTCCTTGAAATTAATCCGTGATGTACTGATTCTGTTCCCACTGTCAGTCTTTGGCCTCTGACTAGTAGACACGGTGTACGATAATCTCCGTTTCCAAGTTTTCATCCAGATTTAGAAAGTTCTTTTTCATGTATATGAAAACAGACCACACTTGACACTAAGTGGCCATCATTGAGGCAACTGAGAGAAAGAAAAGATATACATTATAATATCTTGAGATTTCCCTGCAATCCAGATAACATTTTCTTACTAATTTTGTTCCCTCATTCCTCCAAACAGGCTTTTTGTTTTTATTCCCCTTGGACTTCAGCAATAGCGCAGCATGGTTCTAAAGAGATATTGTAGGCCTACTTTGTTCCCTGAATTCATCATTGCAAGTTCAGACTGTGGATAAATTAAGAAATAAAATGGATTTAACGCCCTTACGAACACTATTAGGGTTTTTTTAGAGGGGGGACCTTGGAGTTCAACGTCCATCTCCGAAAGGACCGAGCCAAACGAGAAATTCGTGTAATACGAGGTGCCCATTGGTGCAATCGTTTCGGTTCAGTTTGCTCGCCCGATTAAGGACGCAAATGGGCACTCCGTATAAAGTGCCTTCCCCAAGGACACAAGGTCGAACTAAGCTGAGGTCAGAACCCCAAAACCTTGCAGTCTCAACGGGTCTGGTAATCCTAACCACCGACTGCCGACACCACTGGACTGTGTTTGTGTGTTTGAGTGTGTGCTTCTGTGTGTCTGTGTGTGTGCATGTGTGTGTTTGTGTTTGTGTGTATGTGTTTGTGTGTATGTGTCTGTGTGGGGGGTGTTGCAATCATGCCATAAATATTACTATCTGATTAAGGTATCAGCCTGGGCAAGGGGTGCTACCCTAAGTATAGGGAGCTTTTGTGCTTATCTGAGACTGTCACATCATATTTATGACGTCTGTCTCAGAAGTAAGTTTCCCTGTTCGGTAAATAAAATCAACAATGTTTATTTTACAGTCATCAAATAAATACATAGCTACAAAAGTATGTTTTCATTACAACTTAACAATCGTTGACCTCAATGCACCTTTTCATCTGAAAAAAAAAAACCCAAAAAACGCAGGGACCGTGTCGGCTTCGGCCCAAGTCCCTAGCGCATTATTTTTTGCAGTATGTTGTTCTTCATCAGCGAAAGATCTTGTCAGTATATTAGTGTTTTAGCGCCTATAAATGGCCGCTTGCACTGAATGCTTACCAGGAAGTTGAGGTTGTTTCAGAATGCTCTCAGGTCTGCCGGTGTAATAGTATAGATTGTGAAGGGCATAGAGCTTGCTGTTGAGCGGGGATTTGCACAATACAAATGTTATCTATTATTATTATCAAAGGTAAAAATGTACTAGAAATTGGGGTTTTCTCCAAACTTTGTTTTTACACTCTATGTCATAAAATATGGCATGTCTTTAAAACTACTAAAATATTTGAGACATTTAAAGATCAGCGTGTTCAACATTAAATTGGTTACAAGAATATGTCCTTATTCCCAATATCCAAAATTTTCGACAACCGGGACTTTTCTCCAGGTACACACACACACACACACACACACACACACACACACACACACACACACACACACACACACACACACACAG